ATAAAGTGGTGGGGGGTATTTGAATGTTGTTTTAAATAAATGCCTGTAACTTCGAAACGGCTTAATGGATTTGGATAAATTTGGTATCATTGAAAAGAGCATTTCTTGGGCTTTTAGGTTTCTCGTAATCATGACAGTTGCGACCTACACGGCCGCCGATAGAGGGCGTTATTCGATATTATAACCAAAATATTGGATTTTCTCAAAAAATTTAAATGCGATGATATGACTTTTTTTAGACTAGAAAATAGACAAATGACCAACCAATAAGCCTGCGCAAACCGCATCTTAATATCTTTTTCCTAACTCAAATTATTAAAAAAAAATACTAAACCAGGAAAATTCATATATCCCCATTTAAAAATGCATCGGTTGCTTTCGATAAGAAGGCAAGTAGTAGGCCATGGAAATAAAAGACAAACTCCTCTCTAAAATATTCACAAGAAATGTCAGTTTATTTAGTGCTGTGATTTTAAGTCGCACGTTTTCGTATTTATAAGCGATTTTCCTTTTAAATAAAGTTGTGGTCCTGAAAAGGACCGATTTTGAAAAAAGATTAATGCCTTCTGTGTTCAAATTGCCTTCCGTCATATTCCACACATTGTTCCAGTCTTTCTTGAGTCGACAGAACCGCAGCCTCGATTTCTACCGCTGATAGTTGACGAATTGAGTTTCGAATTCTGTTTTCCATATCCATTCGTGTTGTTGGTGGAGTTTGAAAAACAATGTCTTTTAAGCGTCCCCACAAGTAAAAATCAAGACATGTCAAGTCCGGAGATCTTGCCGGCCAAGGAAATAGGCTTCCCCTTCCTATCCAGCGTTCTCGAAAGGTCCCGTTAATATGGTTTCGGACATTAATTGAATAATGTGCCGGACAACCATCTAATTGCAGAAACATAGTTCTCCTAGTTTCGAGTGGCACATCTTCCAACAAAATTGGCAAGTCGTTGATCAAAAACTCTAAGAAGCGGTTACCAGTTAAAGCTTGATCAAAAAAATAAGGTCCAATAATTCTGTCCCCAATGATACCGCACCACACATTTAGGCTCCAGCGTCCCTGGTGCTGCACTTCTCTTAACCAATGCGGATTTTCAGCGGACCAATAATGCATATTATGACGGTTTACTCTACCATCACTACTAAAGGTAGCCTCGTCGGTCCAGAGAATTTCCGTTAAGAAATTTCTGTTTTCCTCAAGCATGCCTAGCATCCATTGACAATAATTTAATCTATTATCGAAATCTTGTTCATTTAGCGCCTGGTGCAAAACTATGTGGTAAGGATGTAATCTAAAAGTAAAAAACAACATATGCGTAAAAATAATATAATCAGAATAACACTGAATTGTGTATTTGAGAGTATGTGCTAAGATACTTGGAATAAGATAAAATTATTTACCTATAATCTTTCAAAATATTTCTAACAGTTGTTCGTGCTATTCCCAAGTCTAGAGACAATGTTCTAGTTCCTACATGTCTATCAAATTCTATGTAAGCCAAGACATTGATAATGTTTTCTTCGGTCCTTCCATTGCGACGCCTGCGACGTTTAGGACGACGAAAACTTCCAGTATCGCGTAATCGCTGTACCAAGCGCGGAAACATTCTTCTCCCGTAATGACGGCGATCTGGATACCGTGCCGCGTACTGTCTTGCAGCTATAGCTGCATTTTGAAAACACTCGAAATAAATCGCAATCATGTCAACGGCTTCATTATTTGTGAGAGGCATTTTGATTAAAAAGTACTCAAATTATACGCAATCAACAATATTAGGCTGCGTGTGACAAAAGTTTGACGTTACTTGGCAATATTTTTGTTAGGCGATTGTCGTGTCCATGGCCTACTACTTGCCTTCTTATCGAAAGCAACCGATGCATTTTTAAATGGGGATATATGAATTTTCCTGGTTTAGTATTTTTTTAAATAATTTGAGTTAGGAAAAAGATATTAAGATGCGGTTTGCGCAGGCTTATTGGTTGGTCATTTGTCTATTTTCTAGTCTAAAAAAAGTCATATCATCGCATTTAAATTTTTTGAGAAAATCCAATATTTTGGTTATAATATCGAATAACGCCCTCTATCGGCGGCCGTGTAGGTCGCAACTGTCATGATTACGAGAAACCTAAAAGCCCAAGAAATGCTCTTTTCAATGATACCAAATTTATCCAAATCCATTAAGCCGTTTCGAAGTTACAGGCATTTATTTAAAACAACATTCAAATACCCCCCACCACTTTATTTCGAAAGATAGAGAAAAATTGTTTTTACAAAAAATATTCGACTTTAAGTTAACATTAAAACGCAAATACTTTTTTGTTACATTCATTGGGGAAAATCGCGAGAAACGTAATTTTATGTAATTCAAGATGGTGGAAACGCCCACTGGCGGCCATCTTGGAAACTTGAAAATAATTTCCAGCATTTTCTCTTGCCCACTTTACCTATAAATTTTTTTACCGTAGCTCTCTACGATCACTAGTTTCTGAGATACAGCCGCTTACCTCGCTTATTTGCCCACCCTGTACAATAAAACCTTTTTTGTTCCCGACACTAATCTTGTATTGATTTTTCCTCGATAATTCCCGAAAATCACCTTTTTTCCAACCTCTACAGTGGCGTTTCTCCAGTCACTGAAGCTGAAGATCAGCTGTAACCTCCGAATTCTTTGAAACCACATGGATTTGCATGAAATTTTAGAATAAGGCTCATCTTAGGCTCAAGTTCAAAAGTAACATAACCCGCCTTGACGCTTTTTGTTTTTTAGGGGTAAAAACTACCTCTAAGTGAAAAAATTTTAAAAATTAAGTTTTAAGCATTTTATTGATAAAAATCTTGTTCAAGCACAAAGATTAAATAATGTTCCATGTTCTCGAACATGTTTTATGATATATTTGATCTTTTCGACCCTTTATTTAACCCTTAAAAACTACCCCTATGCAACAAATTATAAAAAATTACTTTTTAAAGATTTGGAATGATTAAATTGTGCAATTATTTAAAATAAAAGTTTCCTTATAGCTAATAAAATAATTTTTCACTTTCAACCCCTAAAAACCACCCCTGTAATGACAAAAATGATAAAAAATTACTTTTTAAAAGCTTGGAATATTTTAACGGTGCAATTATTTAAAATAAAAATTCCCTCATTGCTTATGAAAGAATTTGTATCTAATAACACTTTTCAACCCTTATAAATCATCCCTGTGCTAAGAAATGATAAAAAATTATGTTTTAAATCTTGGAATGCTATAATTGTGCAATAATTTAAAATAAAAATTCCGCCATTTTGTTTATGAAAGAATATTTTACTTTTGCCATTTTCAACTCTTATAAACTACTCTTTTATCAATATTAATGTAAAATATTTTTATTATAATCGATTTTTAAATATAATCATAAAAAAATTGCCACGCTGCATATAATTAATCACACTAAATTTTTTTACTTATTTTATTTGTATAATATATCGGTGGCGTCATATCAGAAGGGCGTATGAACCAAATCTGAAATGTTACAGGCATAGGACTTTCTGATATTATAGTTTTGCAAAATTGGTTCATATGCCTAAGTAAAATGCGTTAGAATAGAGTGTTGATGTTTATGAATATATAAGCCCTTCTTATATATTAAGCGAATTGATTAAATGAGGTCATACGCCCTAAAAACCCAAAACCGACTATAGTGGCTCTTACGCCATTCTGATATGACGCCCTCGATATATTATATAAAAATGAGAAAGCCTATTCTGTTCCGAAAAAATGTCATTAGTTTTTTTACCATAACTTGGTTAATTTTAAAGCTACAGTATCCTACAAAAAAGCATTTTAAAGATAATTTCAAGAGCTGTAAGATCGTTTGCATATAAAACCTTTCAAGTCCTTCGCTTTTAAAGGGAAAGGATCAAAGGGTTCAAGACAGGTCGTTTTTTCACTAAAATGGATACTTCAAGTGGTGATATCTCCTTTATTTTTTATGCTACAGGAATAAAAAAAGTAAAAAAAATTTGTTGAAAAAAAAAGCTACCGTTTTGTTGTCTATCATTTTTTACGCATCTTTCATAGTTTTAGAGTTATTATATAAATAAGGCAGTTTTTTTGAATAATGAAAAATACGTTTTCAACTTTTACCGTACATTATTCAAAAAATACGCATTCTAAACCAGTCTAACTTCAGGATCGTGTGAAAAACACTAAAACAAAATTAATTGTAAAGGGTTTACGATTAATTTTAATTCTGATGGAAATGGTAGAGCCTTTACTGCTTATTTTTCCTTAAAAAATATGAGCAACCCCTCTGTTTTTGACGATATCTCCTTCAATTTTGCTCTAATTAACTTTTATAAGTGCTCATTTTGCAGGTCTTTTTGAGTACTACAAAAAACTCCAGGAGCGTTATACACGTAAAATTAATCTTTTTTCGTTATTTGACGTTGAATACATCGATTCGAGTATTCCCCCCAAAACAAGTCCCCTTCCTCTAACCATATTTCGTTTTGTATAGGACGTGCAACACTTTTTAAAAAACGATTTTCTTTGTTTATAAGCTACATATTTATTCATTACACTTTTTTTAATAAAATGCATAGTTTTTGAGTTATTCGCGAAAAATACTTTGAAAAAGTGTTTTTTTCACTCAAAATTCCAAGTTTTCAATCGTGAATAACTAAAAAACTTTTGATTTCTCGAAAAAATTCTTTGAGTATTTTTTGCTCAAAATTTGATTCTCTATCGATTTCCAGCGTTATTTTTGAAAAAAAATTCCACCCCCAAGAAGGGGTGTCAACCCCCAACAGGGTGGAAGCGTCAATCGGCGCTATGTCACTAATGTTCATTGACCTTTTCTCTAACCATCTGCCAAATTTCAAGTCGATCGGTTCAGTTTCAAAGAATTCGGAGATGAAAAGCTTCAACGACTGTACTACTCTATTGGGAAAGCAAATATACGATATTAGCAAAGATTATTTGTGGAACAGTTTCCAAAAGATACAAAAACGAGAATGTGTTATATATTTCAATATTTTATTTTTATTAGAAAACAATCGCATTTTTAACGAGCAGTGTATCAAACATAACTGTTCCTAAATGTTCTTCACCTAAACTGATTTAAATACACATCAACAGCCAATCATACATTCAAACCAAAAAAAAATCACAATCGATCAGAGGGCGTAAAAAATACAAAGGGTTGTGTTTTGTGCCAAATCGATAAGAAAATCATCAATCAATACATGTCTGTACAGGAAACATGTTAAGAGACAATTATTTATACAATTTTAGTAAATTTACAGTCACATGCGTTCCCAAAAGTAAAATCGGAGAATCGAAAGCTGAAAAATAAATTTATATTACAGGCAATTTAAATTTATTCCATCTAATTAACACGTGGTCTATACACAGTAGAAGAAAGAAAGGAACAAGGTAATCATTAAAAAAAATATAATATAAAAAAATTAAAAGCATCTCAGCCAGGGGGATGCACAAAACACATTTACACTGGTAGATTGTATTTCTACTCTTAATCCAAGGATTACGATGATACAAATAGAAAAATATCCGTCTAAATAATATTTAGATTAATTACAGTTCTCTACAAGGGGAACGTTGGCTGCTAATCTTGCATTTCCTCGGGCACCTCATGCGGATTCAGTATGCCCGGCACGGAGAGCTGGATGCGGCGCTTTTCCGCTTGCGCGGCCTGCAACGCCTTCTCGCGCTCTTCTAGGAACAGATCTGTGTCATCCTCGCCGGTGTATTCCTACAGAAAAACGGTTTATATTTTAGAATACACGTGATCTAACCCTTTCACCTACAATATAAAGCCTCACATCTGATGCATTATCACCTCCACATCGCTATCAGTTGACGTGAAATAGCAGAAGTCGGCATATGCATTATACGGAGCCTTCATAAATAATTTCAAGCCATGTGACCAGTAATTTTGTTTGGAACAGTAATCTTATTTCCTTCACATTGGCAATTAAATTTCTGTAAAATTCAAAATTATTAAAACTAAGATCGAGATTACAATAAAACACAACATTCTGTTTCACCGGCTGGTGATTGGTGTAAATTTTCATAAGATTCTATTCAACCAATCAGCGATCGCATTATCTCAAGCGTAGACGTAACAGTTTGTCACTGTTTATTGTAAACAAATCATTAATATTGGTCATGCTAAGATTCAGAATTTTTTATTTTGGTTATCTTAGCTCGGTGGTCACATGGCTTGTAAGCATTTATGGAGGTTCTATATTATATGATTATATTGTAAAAAGAAATTTTGAAGGAATACAATAATTTTAATCAAGTGCAAATTTGAAGTTAGACTGAGAAGATAATCTTGAGTTCATAGATTTGTTCGCAAAGAAACAGAAACCATCGGCAACTGTCCGACCCATGCACATTTTGTTAAAAGCTGTCGTACAACAAAATCGGAAACTATTTAAAAGTTTGGTGGGAATAGGTTGACTCCCAAGAAATTTTCAATTTATCATTCTCAAACATCTTTAAATAACATTTTATTTTGTATTAGTAGAGAAATAGACAGAAAATATAAAATGAAATACCACTATTATAAATCCAAAATTAACACAAACAACAGCTACCTATCATAAATCAAAATTAGCTTTGAAGATCAATCAATTCAAAATAAAAATTAGCTGTTTTGTAAATAAAACTATATTTTTAGGTTAGATGCAAACATAAAATAACCAGATAGCACTGATGGCAGTGGTAATTCATGTATTTGCAGAGCATAAAATTTACAATTTCAATATAACCCGAAAGTCTTCAATTTTTACTTACTGGAATATTTATTTTGTTAATTGTAGTATTTATAAATATATTACATAATGTACATAACGTAAAAAATGAGTGAAAAATTTTTTTATGTGTAGGGGTTCCTCAAAAAAATCGAAGTGTTGTTGGGGTTCCGCAAGTCGTAAAAGTTTGAAGACTGCTGTAGCTAAGCAATACCCCTCCACCTAAAATGTTTGCGAACGTATTTTATGAACAACCACTAAGAACTTATAACGTTATTTTTATAAATCACTCTAATTTTTTTTTTCTGGGATCATAAATTCAATGATACACAAGGTGTTAACGAAAAAAGTACTCAAAATTGGAGAGTATGTAAAACATGTTGAAACATAATGAAAACTTTAGTAGAGTTTTTGTCAGTGGCGGCTTCTAAGGGAGATACAGACCCTTGAAGGGCTAACTCAGGAAATAGTATTTATTGCATAACTTCAAAACCGTCTAATATTAAATCGCAAAATTTTGGGGGTGTATTACTATTTATATGCTTAATAATCGGAATAATATACAAATCAAAATTTGCTACAGGGGCATAAGAAAATGCGGAATTTTACAATTTTTTTTTGTACACAATTTTTTCTACTTCCTGAACTGAAATAATGAAAATTTATCATATTTTGCATAAAAAAAGGTACTCTTGTTAGATTTTGATAGCTCGAGCCGTTTTCTAGTAAAATCCATTTCAATAATTCATTACGCGCTCAAAAATTCCTGCTGAAAATAAATGTATCAAATTGTGCCATGAGAAAATTACTATCATATGTGCAGCATTGTGGCTTTATAATCTAGGTGTTAATGATCTAACTGCTTAATTAACTTGAAGGAAAAAAAGGATCACACACACATACACAAGAACTCACCCTAATTTGCACCAAGAAGTCCCGCAGATGCTCCTTGAAGCCAGGGATGTCCTGATCCAGGTTGAACATGCCTTGCACCATGATCTTGATCTGGTTGTCGGTTAGGTGTGGGAACGCAGACCTGAGCAAAGTGGCTGTGAACTCCTGTATAAACAACACATTGTCCGGCGTCGGTCCCAGCTGGCAGTTCACCCTTCCCGCCTCGACCAGTGAAAAAATGTACGCCAAGATAGTGGCGTGCATCGACAGGCCAGCTGTGTGCGAGGTGTCCGTCACCACAGAGAATACGTGTTGGAGGATGTCCGTCAGGTAAGTTTGATAGAAGCTGGGAGCTGCAGTCTCGTGCTGTTCGACGTTTTGTAGGAGTTTAAGGAGGATCTGGAGGCCGGTGTCGGCCACATTTCTCATCGTATGCTTGAATGCCCAGATGATACTGTCCAGCACCAGTTTGAATTGTGTAGGCGGGATGTTAAGGAAGGCGGCAAAGCAATGGTTGTTAACCGCCTGGAGCAGCAAGAAGAAGTTTGTCCTGTGCTCCGGGTACTCCTCGAAATCCTTGTTGATCATCTCCAAGGTGCATTCGAACACCGCGTCGAAGATTTTTGGTACCTGAATGGAAATTTTAATTTTACTACGACAAGACATAAGCGTCAAAATATTTCATATATTTATAAGATAGGGTGTTAAGTATGTACAATAAATTCCACAGACGATTATTTGAGTGATTTTAAGACAAAAAGTATCATATAAACATTGGTCCGCAGATGTTTCGTTTTGAAGATACAGGGTGTTAAACTTTTGTAAAAAAATTGCTATTTTGTAAATATTTTAAATACCCTTTACCCAATTTTGTAATTTGGCAGTGTTATTTATGGTGTCAAGGGGCTAATTGAACCCTAACTTGATTAGATTTATTAAATCGAGTGGCGTCCCGAGCGGTACCTTTAAGAATATTTTTGACAAAAAAAATGTACGCAACTGATAATTTTTTGTAATTTTTATACAGGGTGTCCGGAAATGATGAGCAAAAAATTCAGGGGATAATTCTAGACCGGAAATAAATGCTACCTATTTCTATAACATTTTTTCCAAAACTGATTATTAACGGAGTTACAGGGTGTTAAAGTTAAATTTTATTTGCAGTTGTTTTGCAATACCTTTTGCCACACTCACAATATTTTGATGAAATTTCGTATATGGGGGTTTTTCGGGATGAGGATTATAAATTTGCCCACCGTTTTTCGAATTTTGTAGAGGGTGCCACATACGAGCCTTTATTTTGATTTGAATGGTTCCAACTTTTTTGTGCTGCACTTTATGCGACTTATGACTGAATATTTTTGTTCTCCTAACCTTTTGACATAAAAAAGGTATACTTTATTTGTTTCGATAAATCTAACCGTTTTCGAGAAAAATGCTAAAATAACATTGCTTGCATGTGATGAATACGAAATCATTTTAATTTATTTTCTACATTAAACATAGCATGCTTTGGAAACAAGCGCTTAGTTGCCTTGGAAACACGTTTGTGGAGAATTAGTTTTGACAGATAGTAATTTTTGTGAAAATTTGTTGTTACGCTGATGGTGGTTAATGATAAATAATAAAAAAATAACGTCCTCAACAAATAAAGAATGGTTTACTAACAAAATCATAAGGTTAAAATACATAAGTTACTAGAACAATACAAATACAAATTAAACATTCAAATTAAAGGTTCAGTGACGTCCTTCCTCTTCAATGCATAGATTAATTCTTCTTAAAAAATTCCGACGAACTCTATGGAATATTCCTTCCTTTTGTTTAATTACCTCACAATTAGCAACAATTCTTTCTCTCAGTTCATCGATGCTATTCGCAGGTGTCCTGTATACAAGTGTTTTCAGATAACCCCAAAAAAAGAAATCGATTGGGTTTAAGTCAGGGGATCTAGGGGCCCACTGTACAAAACCACCGCGTCCTATCCATCTTTCAGGAAATGTTTCATTTAAGAATTCTTTGGCCGCTAAACTAAAATGCGGTGGTGCGCCATCTTGAAGCAGCTACATTGCATTTCTTAATCCAAGTGATACATCTTCCAACAGAACAGGTAAGTGGTTTCTTAAAAAATCCAAGTAAACTTCACCATCGAGTCTTTGTGAAAACAAATGTGGCCCAATTAAGTAGTCCCCTACAATACCGGCCCACACGTTGATGGGAAACTTATTTTGATAACCGCACTCTATTGATAAATTAGCATTCTCATCAGACCAAAAATGCTCATTGTGGAGGTTTATTAAGTCATCATGATCAAATCCAGTTTCGTCCGTGAAAAGGATATTACGAACAAAATTTTGGTCACCATTATGAAGTATTCTAATTGTATTGCAGAAATTCACACTAGCAGCAGGATCTACGGCAGATAAGGCTTGCACCTTATGGTACTGGTACGGATGAAAGTTTTGTTCGCGTATTGTTTCATGTATGGAGCTCTTTGGAATGCCCTTCTGAATAGCAATTTTTCTTATACTAACATTGAGATTATTCTCTATCAAATTCAAAATACGAATCTTCTGCTTCTGCTGTTCTAGTATTCCGTTGTCGACCTACACAAAAAATTCTAGTTTTGAACGATCCAAATTCTCCCAGTCTTCGATGAATAGTACTAAAAATTCGCGATTGGGGTAGGTTTCTATTTGGATATGCTTCGTGATACAAACGTCGTGCTGCAAGAGCATTGCCAGCAGCTAAACCGTAATAATAATACATGTCCCACAACTCTATGTTAGAATAAATGTTGTTCATTTTAATTATTATTTTTATGATAACAATTACTACAAAAGAACTTGTACAAAATTACTATCTGTCAAAATTAATTCTCCACAAACGTGTTTCCAAGGCAACTAAGCGCTTGTTTCCAAAGCATGCTTTGTTTAATGTAGAAAATAAATTAAAATGATTTCGTATTCATCACATGCAAGCAATGTTATTTTAGCGTTTTTCTCGAAAACGGTTAGATTTATAGAAACAAATAAAGTATACCATTTTTATGTCAAAAGGTTAGGAGAACAAAAATATTCAGTCAAATTTTGCATAAAGTGTAGCACAAAAAAGTTGGAACCATTCAAATCAAAATAAAGGCTCGTATGTGGCGCCCTCTACAAAATTCGAAAAAACGGTGGGCAAATTTATAATCCTCATTCCGAAAAACCCCCATATAGAAAATTTCGTCAAAATATTATGAGTGTGGCAAAAGGTATTGTAAAAAACTGCAAATAAAATTTAACTTTAACACCCTGTAACTCCGTTAATAATCAGTTTTGGAAAAAATGTTATAGAAAGAGGTAGGATTTATTTTTGGTCTAGAATTATCCCTTGAATTTTTTGCTCATCATTTCCGGACACCCTGTATATTTCTTGAATTAAGCAACTAAAAATACAACTTTTTTGTATGTTGAATATTTTTCGTATCTTGAGTAATTTTTGTAGAAAAAAATAAAATCCACTTAATTGCATATCCTTGGACCACACAAGAAACATGTGGAAAAGCTTCTTTTGGAAATTATCATTTTTTTATAACAGCGTTCAAATAAAAACGTGGTCAAGTTGGTTCTGAAAATTTGGACGTAGGGCGTAGCGTATAGCAAATGAATTTAAACGTCATCTGTCAAAGCGCTATATCGCCGCTATCAATTTGAATATTTTCGTTTTAAAAAGCGTTTAAAATGGTGTTTTCTCAAGAACAAAAAGTGTTTATCATAGAGTCCTACTTTAGAAATGGACGCAAGATTGATGGAATACGGAGGTATTCTATCGAGGAATGTTTCATAGAATTTCAAAATCAATTTCCCGGCGTTGTTGAGTACAAAATTTTTCAAAGTGCAGTTCAGCGTTGTGTTAATGTTTTTCGTGAAACGGGCAGTGTAACAAGAAAAGAAGGAAGCAGCCGACCTAAAAAGCGGACTGAAAAATTAAAAGAAAATGTCCAACAAATAATGGAAAATGCGCCAAGAACTTCTGTACGTGTTTTATCACAAATTTTAATTTATTGTTATAACAAGGAGGGGGACACTTTCCGCAGCTCCTTTAATTGTTTGTTATTGTTATCACAATTATTCTTTAAAATAAAGTTATATAGTCATTAACGTTATTGAAACTGACAGTTTGTTTTCCGGTTGTTGAGAAATGAGTTTAAGTTGGTCGCTATAAGCTACTCCCTACGTCCAATGTGTCAGAGCCAAGTTCGACCACGTTTTTATTTGAACGCTCGTTATTTTTTTATTAATAACATGTAATATCTAAGTAACATAAAATACAAATAACACTGCCAGATTACAACAAGGGTAAAGGGTATTTAAGATATTTACAAAATAGCAATTTTTTACAAAAGTTTAACACCCTGTATCTTGAAAACAAGGCATCTGCGGACCAATGTTTATATGAACTTTTTGTCTTAAAATCACTCAAATAATCGTCTGTTGAATTTATGGTACAAACTTAATTAACACCCTTCATATGAAAATTTTGAACCTCTGAAATCGTGAATGTTTCCGATATTTTTCGCCAGTTAAAAGAGGTGATACTGTTGATGCAAGTGCGGTGAATCGATCGGTGATAAAATTTCATTAATGTGAACCCGGTAAAGCGAATATTGAGGACATAGCTAGCAGCGGACGACCGATTTCTGTAATTGGCAAAATTCTTCGCAAGAAAGTGGACGATTTGAATCGAAGTGACCATCGAATCACGCAACAGCATATTGCAAACCATCTGGGAATATCGAAAGTACGTATAGGCCATATCATTGGAGGACTTGGCTATTGAAAAATCTGTTCATTTTGAAGCTAAAGAATTGTACTTTCATTTTTTTGTCCCATCCCGATATCTCTTCTCGTTCCTACTCTACTGTCATGTGCGCATTACTTCTCCGCCGACCCTCGTATATTAAAACAATTTAATTTCTAGACTAGTGGGACATTCTTAGTTTTATAGATGTTTAGAATTATCTCTTACCATAAACATTTATTTCGTATCGCTAATTATCTAAAATTTAAATAAAGTTTTACATACACACCTTGTATAGACACCAAATAAGCAAGAATCATAACTAGCACCGTTTGGTAATGAGAAGTAACGAGTAAAAATATTAACAAAGGCACAAAGTAAAAATAAAAAAATGCGTCCAACATAGTATAGCACAAAACGAATATCTAATGGATCACACTGGTTATAGATAATTAGGTAATACCAGCTGATAAGATTAGATAATCCATTAAATGGATGCAGGGGAAAATTTGATTGTATCAATATAATAGATGAAATCTAAAAGGTTTACGTTAAAAAAAAAAATGAAAATTACAAAATCAATAGTAAGACATTAAAAAGTTAGTGAAAAATTATGTCAATAACTATTTTTATGCATATTCATATGTATATAACTGTAAGTGCTTCCCAAATGATAAAAAATGTACCTCGGAAGCAGTTCAAAAACACTTAAAACACTTTTTGTTTTCTAATAGCTGGAACATATTACTCTGAAAGTGTTCTTTTTTCTTTCTCTTACCTCCTAACACACCACTACCCTTTGTTAGAGTTTTACTCTAAAATTTATTGTCCCCATAAAAAGTGGGGTTAAGGTTTGCGAATATCAGCTCTAGAATGAAACAGAAAATATGAAAATACAGTAGAACCCCGATTATCCATGTCCAGGGTGCAGATTATCCGTGCTATGCCTAGGAATTTGTGTTGCCACGTTATTTTGTGTTTTTGTTCAGTAAAGACCGTATAACATCTAGGGAAGGTAGTAGTAGTAGTAAAGGGGCGGCCTCAGCCTGGCAATTAGGCCACAAGTGGGCCCTTTTTGCCTACCCCGCCGTCCCATCACCTGACCACTCTCTGCCTCTGACCCTCCTCGAACCTACCCGACGCCCTAATGAACGCCAGGATTTTGGTCCATGGAAGGTCTCTCACCTCAACCCCTTGCAGCTCTTCAGCACCAAAGACTTTATGTCTTATTCTCCCAAAGGCTGCACACTGTCCCAGAAGGTGGACAGGGGTGTCCTCCCCTTCGCCACATTTCGGGCATAGAGGGTCCTCCTCAATTCCTATTAAGCTTAAATGCCTCCTAAGTCTGCAGTGGCCTGTCAGAACCCCCACCATTTGGTTTAGGGCTCTTCGACTGAGGCTCAGCAGCCATCTTGTCTTGGATTTGCTAGGTCCATGTATAAAACTATGGGCCTGCCTGCATCCTCTATTTCTCCTCCAATGCAGACCTAAAGTTTGATAGGCCCACTTATTGAGGGCCCCATTAATGCTGCCTCGTGTGATACCTAAGATTGGTTCAGGTCCCTGTCCAGGTCCCCTGGACCCAAGACGAGCTAATTGATCTGCCCTCTCGTTACCAGGGATGCCCCTATGGCAAATCTAGGGAAGGACATAATCAGGAAATATCTACTTCGTGACAGACCTGGAGGAAATAATTGATGTCTAAAAAACAAGGACGGAATCAGAAAATGTTTTCGAGGAAATCACAATTTTTCCAGAAAACCCGGAGAAATAACATGTTAACTCGGAGCCCGAAGATGTCAGTGGCGGCTCGTCAGGTGACGCACCGCTTCACCTAAAATTTCCGTTTGGTTGTGCAATTTAAAATTATTTTTAATTTTATATAAATTTTATAATTTAGGTATAATTCTATATTGAAAATGTATCGTGTTTAATTGTTTATACACAGAAATAAACAGAATAGTTGCGCGGTGAACGCCTAAAAAAAAAAAAAAACATTACCTTCATTGAGCGTGAACATCAACCTCGTACCATACAACGTGAACATATAGTATACGCAAGTGGCACAGATCGAAGTCAGTCTGTATTCCGCTTCTCTTCGAAGCGTTGTGGACAGGGGTTGTCATGGCAACGAGACGGCCAACACGGGAGTAAACTACGGCGTGGGAAAACGAGTGGGGCAGATATTGAAGCAGCATTGTCGATTATAACGGTTCTTAATTAATATTTGTTTTGTATAATAATTGTAGAAATGTTTCCTATGTATGATCCAGTATGTATTTTATTGGAAACGCCATTTTCAAATGGTATAAAAAGAATTTTTTAAATTGCGAGAGATTTGTGCCTTATTCTCTCGATATGGAAAAAAGGGGAAGTCAAAAGACAATGTGTACGTTCGAAAGTTTCGAAATGAATGGGATTCGGAATATGTTTATTTAAAAAAAACTTTTTCGTATGCCGTGTTTAATTGTGGGTGTATAGTCGGGCGTGTGGAATAAGGAAGGATTTAATAATTTTGGGAACGTCACGCGAGGCTGTCGTAAGCACAAAGCTTCTTTGGAACATACATGTACGGTGTGCATTAATATTCGCAGAAGTCGACAAGCCGAACTAATATTTCTATTTTTTATAAAATCTAAATGAAAATCCTTCTTACGAACGTCAGTTTTTCGGTAATATTGCAAATGTAACTAAAAATTTCCAGTTTAATTTAAAGCCGCTTGACCTTGAAAAATTGAATTTTTAGTCAATCAATGAATATGCTTCACCCATTCTCAATGTCACGAGCCGCCACTGGAAGATGTACTATCAAAACCCGGAGATCTGGCAACCCTAATAACATCATGTGTTGTGGCTAACGCTTTTAATCTGCTGAAGTTACAAATATTCTATTAGCCTATTTCTAGTAAGTCAACATTTTAAACTTACATTACACTTACGTCAGAAAATAAAGAAAAACAAAAAATGTTAAATACGGATCAAAATTATTGACTTTAAAAAGTATAACTATGTAGGTACTTAAAATAAATGTACCTAAATTGCAATTTCAATGATTTTGTGCATGTTCATCTATGTATTGCTCCGTTTCTCCATGTTTTTCAATTATTTGTGCCGCGATCGGTAATGTAGGTCACGGATAATCGGAGTTCTACTGTATGCAAAAATACATATATGTAAAAATATGAGTATTTTATATTCTTTCATATCGAAAATATAAATCGTTAGTTATATCGTTTTTTTAATATTACAAGATATTAAAAAATCAATATACAAAAATAAATGGATTTTTTATATAATTAGTTGTAAAATGATTACTTTCTATTCAAAAAAACAAAATTTATTTCACTTTCTATTGGGTTAGGGAATAAGTAATGTTTTTTTTTTAATTTAAGATATTTTATTTTTAACTCTACAATTATCAATAGGCTAATCAGTGATATATTCTCCATCGTTATTTATGACCTCCGGTTTTGACTCGAAAAGCCATTCAACCAAGCTCTTAACTCATCGTCAGTTAAAAAAAAAACACCACGGAAGTAGTTTGACAAAGAGCGGAAGAGGTGAAATTCAGAAGGCGGGAGTTCCGAAGAGTAAGGCAAGTGGAGCAGAACTTCCCAATTCAACTCCCGAATGGCCATTTTGGTGATATTGGCAATATGTGGTCCTGCATTGTCATGTGGCAAAAGAACGTCGTATCGACGATCAGTCTATTTTGCTGAATAGAAGCGTGGACTCCCCATAGTTATTGAACATAGTTCTGCGTTAACAGTTTTTTTCTTTTTAGTCAATCAATGAACATGCTTCACCTATTCTAAATGTCACGAGCCGCCACTGCACCATACACATAACATTGTTTTTCGAAAATGAAGTTCTGGTCTTGTTTGCGGAGTTGCTTGTTTTTTGTTGTTGTTTAACAATTCTTTCCTCCGTTTCAAGACACCATTTTTCATCACCAGTGATATTACATTGAAGAAAACGTTGCTCATGACCACATGTTGATCAATGACGACAGAGCAAACCAGAGGTAATTGCTGAGCTTTGACTCTTATTATTTTCGTTCAAAACATATAGGTCCCAAGCCCCAAGTCTTTGAACTTTTACGATCTAATGAAGGTGGTTTAATGTTTTGTGATCACGTCCCATCTCCTGAGCTAATTCCGTAGTTGATTATTTTGTATTTTCATAGTCGATGCCATTGCTCTTCATCAAATTCGACAGAGCGTCTGGACCGATTGACATCTTTAAGGTTGAAGTAACCTGCTTTAAAACGTGAAAATCATCGACAAGCCATTCATTCATTCATCGCAACATCATGATATTTCCCAAACAGCTTTACGATTTCTTCATCTCAATTAAAAACAAAAAGGGAGCCAGTGCCGAAAATAATCAATTTTATCAACTTGACAATCCATTTGAAATTAATGAAAATGCACAAAAATTAAATCTAACGAAGCAACCAAAACCACAATTTGATACAGTTATAAGTTCACTTTCAAATGACATTAATTTGATATGCTTTCAATTTTCAAATGAATTTTTATGTTTGAAAAAAAAAACGGACATTACTTATTTCCCAACGCATTATCTTTTATAAAACGGATCAGATACTGAAGTTTTAGTGACATTTTCAAAAAATGGACAAAAGCAAATTTCTGGTGTTGATTAAACACTATTCTTTGATGGACAAAAATACCGTTCAAGTTCAGCAATGGCTCAAAGTGTTATAAGGAATCTGCTCCATCGAAAACAAACATCAAGGGGTGTGTGGGTGCGCATCTTCGCAAGTGACCCATTTTTAAGCATTACGTCAAGAGCGCCAGCCTGACGCCGCCCGGACGCACCAGGGTTCCAGCGAGGGTCTACAGCGAATTGGCGCCGGTGACCAGATGTTTACTTAATACCTACAAACGACTCCACACACAAAGACTCTCCAGCGAACGCTCGCCCCGACAACACATTTTTTGCAAACTTTGTTTTCAATAAAAATACTTTTATTTTCCGTTGAGAGTTTTATTTGCTGCACAACGAAAGCAACCCTTGTACTATAGAATTTAAAATGACTATAAAAATTTTTTAAAAGATGACATCAATATATACAAATTTTCCAATTTTTTCCTTAAAAGTTATGAAAAAACTTCCTCACTTACCTCCAACGTAATGTGATTCTCAAGCTTATTAACGATCGTGGCTATGGCGCTCAACACCTCGGGTTCCCTAGCGGATGGCACCTGTGTCCTCTGGTAGTCCAAAAGGACAGCATCCAAGAAGGGAGGAATAAAATTGTCAAGAACCATGCCGCTATCGCTCGATCTGGATATCCAATCGGAAATGAGCTTTAACGTCTCTTTTTTGACAACCCTCATTGATTTTATAAGAGGCTGCTTTGTAACGGCTTCCCCGTTCAGTTGAATTGCTGCTGTTATATTTTCTGACATAACCTAAAAAATGTATATCCCACTTATGATCTACTATCATTTACAAAAAATATATAAAAGTGAACTTTGTATTATCTACTATAAAACTTACTTTGTAAACATTCAACATGTCTAGGTAGATGCGTCCAAGCTGAAGAACATAGGCGTGATTTAAAGCTTTGCAAGCCCTAACGTTAGTTTTTAGTATACTCGCAAGTTGTTTTACTATTTCAATCTCCTTTAAAATATCCACGTTTTTACTAGCTTGACTGATGATATCGTCCCAAACCTAAAATTACAGTTTTAAATTGAACGTTTTGACAAGAGTTGAAGATATGAGATTTTAATTTCCTCAATACTATGGAAAATGTACTGTTCAATATAGTAACATTGTGTGATAATGCAGAGTTAAATATGCAAATAGATCATTACACCAAACCATTATAATAGAAAAAAATTCATAGCAACCCATAAATGAATAACGTCTCTCGACAAGACTTGTACATAATGATAACTTTAACATTAACCCTTTCACTGCTCCAGACATATTTATTCGCTAAAAATTTATAGGACTCAAACTGCTCCAGACAAATTAATTCGCTTGAATAGTTAAATAGGTTAGAGGTTTTTTCGAAAAACTTTTTTTTTTTAATGCTTAGGCAGCGCCTCGACCTCAATGTCGAAACATTGAAAAAAAAATTTTTTTACATGCCAAAAGTACGACCCTATGTAACATGTTATACCCAAACCATGAATTTGAATCTAAAAATCCTAACCTCAAAACCAACATTAACTAAGTTTACACTCGCTAAATTAAGTATTAATAAAAAAAAAAAAAATGAAAAATATGTAGATTTTTTCTACAACTGAACATCGAGTATTTAAAAAATTTTTCTTTGACATTGAGGTTGGGACGCTCCCTATGCATTAAAAAAAAAGGGTTTTTCGAAAAAACCTCACCGGAATATGAAAATTCAGATTACGAGATTATTAAAAAAAACATCACAACGAGACGATGAAAATTGGCGAGTGGCGAGAATTTTTTCCAATATTTTCCACTGTGAGGCTGCTCAAACCGTATATATATTCGTAACCATGCGCATTAGTGATTAGGGAATTTTTGCAGGCGGAGTTTATAGCGATTGTGGCAATTATTTTTATAGAAGGAGGTACTGGTAATAATGCCAAGATTGTCATCTCTTTTTCAGTTTCTATATAGTATGACTCTCGATATATTGTATTTTATTTAAAATAAAATCGTAAAAATATCTAGAAAATCGACAGACAAAGAACTGGAAGAAATTTTAGAGAGAGGTGCTTTATAATAAAATATTAATAAGTAAACTATTACAATTATTTTGAAAAGTTTAAACATGTTTTAATTTAATTTAACACAACATAATGTAAAAATATAAGTAGTCTAACTGCTCCAGACGAGTATATTCGCAAGAGGTAAACTTTCGTGCACGGCGCGGTAGCTACGTTCAGACGTGTTGCGCAGCGAAAGGGTTAAAAAGTAAAATGATTATTTCAAGGTTAATTTTTTTTTGGATTTTCCTTTTATACAAGTCATCTGGCTTGAAAAACCTCAAGTATATTATCTAATTGAAAATAATTTATATTTCTTAGTGCCCATTTGTTGAAAGGACTACTACAATTTATTTGAATCTTAAATTCATATCTAAGAGAATATTTAGCTTGTTTAGATGTTTACTTAATTTATCACAAATTGCAGTCATAAATTACATAAAAACCATTAACGTAAAAACGACGAATAATTTTTTCTTACCTGATTTGGAAGCAACATATATTTTTCAATTAAGGCTTCTTGTGTGGCGTTGTCGACCTGTGCTGATATCATGTACCCTACGGCTTCGTAGAAAGTATGCACTTGCTGCTGTTGCAGGTCGCAGATAATTGTAGAAATCGAAGCTAGTATATCCTCGATGAAGGGGCAGGTCTCACCGATTTGAGTTGTAACAAAATGCCGTCTGCATTTCATCGCAATCTTAATAAAAGTATCGCATGCCATGTCCTGTACACCATCGTGAGTCTCATGCATGAATTCAAACAATTTATTTACAACGGTTTTCAAAAATTTCCAGTGGGCCCTTAGAAAGCGGGGATACTGACCGACAACGTACATGATATTTGAGGCGATGATGGCTTTATTGTCTTTACCACGTTTCTGCTCACACAGACCTAGTAAGTCCTTAATAACCGTCACCAGAAACCTCTTCTCATCTTCTTCATGCATCGCTCCAGAAATACTGCCAATAGCCCAGCAAAGCGTGTTCAAATTCTTCCAAGACCACTCGGTCCCATTCACTTGATTCTGTAGTTTATTCGTCATAATCCTTTCCGTATCTGCATAATCTAGATGAGTTAAATACACAAGGGTTTCACGCATATTCTTATACAAGTTAATAGAATCCGTGTCCTTCATAAACTCCCTTACAACCTCTCCATTGTCATTCTCAACAACTAATACTTCTTCTGGCTTCGCCATTCGAGAAATCATGATGTACCTCACTTTATTCAATACTTCTTGGTATAAGGCTCGTCGAGCATTACCGAAGAATATCAGCTGAGCACCGGCACAAGGCATCTCACGGTACAACTCGGAAGCCAAGCTGTTCCAATATTCCAAACAAATCTTAAATATTTCAACCTCCTCTACCTCAGAAATCAATACCAGGTAGCGTAAAGCATTCCTTAGAGTTTCTATTTGGTTTTCAGCAATGTTACCATGTTCTTTCAAAAATGTACAAAGGAACAAAGCGAGGTTTTGAATGAAATTCTGCTCTTGGTCCTGGCCGCAAGCATAAGCCGTTTTAATGTCAGTTTGTAGAGGAAGCATCGCTTCTAATTGGGCCATCGTTTGAGAGAACAAATTAACAAACATATCATCATAATTACTTACAGTAACACCAGCTATTTCTGTTAGACATTTCAGAGTAACATTACGGAACAGGGGTACAGGGAGGAATTTAAATATAAGTGTATTTATTAGCTTTGTCTCAAATATGTATCCGAGAGGAATCCAATTTAGGAACCGGAGTAGAGTTTCCAAGGTAGCGTTAACAAGAGGGGGATTCTGCGAATTTTCAAGTACAAACTGGCATAAGTGAAAGATCGCTGAAAATTCAGAACACATTGTATCTTTCAAATGCTTCGCCTTGGTTTGTGTGATCTGTCCAGAGGAAAAATCAAACAGTTCTTCACTTAGCAATTTTAATATAATCATGTTATTCTGACATAAACTCTCATTAGTTTTACTCGCTCCTACAATGTCGGGAATAAAACTTTCCCAATTTCTAGGCCACTCTCTTTTTAAGACTTGAACTAATATCATATTTAATTTATTAAGGTAGGTTTTATTAGCTTCTAACGTTTCTGAGTCCGAACTTGTTTTTATTATAAGAGAAACGATATATTTTTTAATTCCCTCACACTGATTCCTTGGTAAAACCTTCCATCGTGTTTTAATAACTTGTTCTAATATTTGCAGGGCGTAATATTTGGTTTGCTGGTTTGTTGAATACTCCAGTATAGTATCGACTCTTGTCCAAGCGTCCGGATGTTCTTTCAAAGTTGTTAAAACTTCTTGTGCTATCCTCTGTGTCTCTCCATTCCCAGCATACATACTAACAACCACACTATCCAAGAGATTTATGTCCAACTTCTGATTGAAATCAAGCAATGCTGCCGCTGCTTGATGTCTGAGCGCTGCCATTTTTACTGTACACCTTATACTTCCAGGTTCTCAAAAATAAACAATCATTCCAATAATTTAGGCGCTGAAACAAAAGTGCTACTTAAATACGTAAAGACTAATCTTTCAGAGGAGTAAACTACTGGAAAACGTCCATATAAAAACAAAGCGCCAAACTAACCCCAAATAGTTTGAAACTAACTACAGCTTAAGCATTGCTTAAAATATCACGGAAGGCACATTAAGAGGTCTAGAAACGACGTAGTCTTTGCCAAAGTTCCACACACCCCAAGATTTAGTAAATTGTTAACCCTAAAATATCAAAAGTTGACTAGCGCGATTTTGAAAAAAGAACTTAATACCTGTTATAAGGCGTACGTGATCTAAAAAATATTAACATAATATTCAATAATTTATAAGTTTCTTACTGTATATCCTTCCTTTAACGGATAAAACACAAAATCAAGGGTTCACTCTCACAAACTCACCACAAAAAGCGCAAAACCGAAAACGACATTACAACAACAGTGTCGATAAAACAGAGTCCATGAAAAGTCACATTTTTTCGTACTTCATCATTGTAGTGGTAGATGTCACTAAATGCGTTTACCTATTTTTAAACTCTATATGACACTCATTCAACGAATTCCGATCATTCGCATTTTAATGCCTTAGCCTTATTGCAAATCGTAACCCAAAAATTTAAATTTGTAAAATATGTTTATACATATAGCGTCTTTGCACAAGTGCCAAGAAATAGTCAGTGGCGTATCACAGAACTGCACATTTACATTATCTCAGAAAAATAAATAACATCAAATTCATAAGCGTATTGTTTTTATAATAGTGAATTTCTATCCAAATATTTTTTATATTAAAAAAAAACATCTATATTTTTACAGAATTTATTTTATACATTTCCCTTGTAAAATTATATTAATGTAGGTAGGTACCTACTTATATAGGATAAATAATAATGAAACCAAATTGTAGGTATAAAATTGTTCATTTAACTAAAAATTTTTGCTACATCTAAAGGAACAAAATTCTTTTCAGCCGTTGCCTTTGTTATCAAAGAAACTAGCCTCTTTTTCCCTTCTCCAATAAGAGTAGCATGATCTTGTGTTTCAAGATTTTCTTCAGAAGAAAGTATAGCCATTGTTTCAGCAACATCTAGATTCGTAGGAATTTTATCACAGCCAACGTTTAGACAGCTTTCTTCAATAGTCATTATTTTCAGAATTACTGTTTCATAGATGTTCAGTATCGACCTGAAAACAAACATATAAAAGTTATAAATCAATAATTATTATATTCGAAAGAGGCAATTGTTACCTTATTCCATTGTTTTCTTCTATAATATCACCAGCAAAAAATTTTATATAAAAGAGATTGCTCCAAAGGTATAACAATTTAGATTTTATTACAACCATCATTAATATTGGGATTACTTCCTCATTATTTATTATAGGGATTTCGCATTCCTTTTCTGCAAAACAGAAAAATATTTGAGAGCCTGAAAAGTTGATAATTTTCTTTTTTACCTGAGTACTTTGATATAATAGTAACAAGTGCCAGTTTTAGTTCTGCATATATCATGTCGTAGGTAGAACAGAGACAGTTTATTTTTTCCAATGGACTCTTGTATGTATCCAACACAGATAACTCTACAACCTGAGCAAAATGAAAATCATTGCATATTAAAATAAATTTTTTATTTATATTATTGAAGTAATTATTGCTAAACATAAAAAATAGGGTACAACACAACAGAGCGACGCCTTACACAAGTATAGTCACTTAAGTGACTACAATTCAGACTTACAGCAGAGATGAATTTTAAACAATTGTACACACTGCATCCAAACTGACCAGGCGAAACGTTTTTCTTGCTTAAATAAGTACATTTTTCGTACAGGTACAGATCTTCTTTCGAAAACTGGCCCCGAATAAGTGGTATCAAATTTTCATAAATTTCGTTGTAAACAACACTAGAATGTTTAAAATTAATAGAAAATTGCAAATGCTAATACAGACCGACACAAATAAGTTTGCGTCTGAGATAGACCCGTCCATAAATGCTATTCCAAATCACCGCCGCTTACGTCTTATTCCTTCTAGCCGAATGCCCTCTTTATGCGCTTATGCGCCCCAGAAACGCAAATTTATTTGTGTCTTTCTATACCTTATGAACATTATACAGATTAACGAAACGAATTTTTACAGAAAAAGACGAAAGATCTTACTTACCAACTTATAGACAGTTTTAATTCTCTATCAACTTTGTCTTTGAAATGTTGTGTCATCACATGTTCTACAATGCCATTTAAATCATCTCTGATAGATTCTAAATCGTATTCTGATCTATAATTCCAGGAGTATATGGTCTCCTTTATCTTTTCCAATACGTGTTCATTTTGACTCGAAGTTTTCAAATAATTTATAGCCCTTGAATATTGAAATATTTTTATTTTTAAATTGCTTAAGCTTTCAAATGTTAATTACAAATTTAGAAGTGAAGGTACAATTAGTAAAGTAAAGCACTTATTTATTATTCATTATTTCTTTATTGCCAAAAAAATCCTTAAAAAATGATATTATTCCGTATAAGATATAGAAATTAGACAATAATAATTTGAGTAATTTCGTGAAAACAATTGATAGATAACACTCCATGACATTTCATTTATAAAATAATTACCTACGTACTCACCCTGCCAAAGTCCAAATGCTATTTATGTCCATGTTGGTATTTAAATCAGTATTACCACGATTCAATGTTTCTTCTCTCAACGTAAATAGTCTTTTTCACTATATTTGCAGATTCATTAATTCTATGTATTATTATTCTTATCTCTCTATATAATTTATCAGCAGATAGATCGTATAAATTTTATCATGTTTCTCGCAGACTTATATGTGGGTTTATCTGAAGTTAATGTAGATTATTTCGATATGTATTGTTAGATATGCTAAATCACGTACATTTAAAGACCAACTACAAAAGTATCTAACTAACACTGATTTAACATCCTGTATAAAGGATTTATTGAGATACGAGTTTAAAATAATTTTGCTTGCCTAGTCGGGTTAAAATTTAATATTTACCTTTAACATATTAATAAACTTATCACAGCAACAATAAAAGAAATATTGCAATGCTAGAAGAACATATCTAATCTTTGTTTTCACCCTAATGTTTTGGTTGCTAGGAAACGAAACACAAACAATTCAGCTCCCGTTTTGTAATAATGCGTAAATAAATATTGACTAAACGTGGCAATATATTTTCCAACTGAAATATTACAACAGATTATTAAAAGAATCATTTTTCCAGATTTTTTATAGCCATGGACTGGAGAGAAACGGTGACTTCCGTATCTGATCATGTTTTTCCAGGCCTTTCGCACAAAATTGACAACAAATTGACTGGTGCGAAAGCTTTTCCAGTTTTAGACAGATTGATATAAATGACTTATTTCAGGAAACGAAGTATTATCCAATCTTCCTCTGCAGATGTCGCTGTATTTTAACGTAGTTTTTGCCCCCGTTTGGATACTGGTGATAATAATATTTCTCACTGAAAATGTAAGTATACAGGATGTTTCAGAATATATGGTCGTAGTATTTAGTAGATTTTCTTTTACAAAAATATGTACTTTCCTTTTTTCATTGAGTATTATTTTAGTTCTACTTATACAGCGAATTGAACAAGTTCATAATAGTGACTATTGTAACTACAATATTCCTCGTGGAGATACTCAGACTTTTTTTGGGTTATGAAGGCAATTTAAGAGACAGGGTAAGTACAAAATACATGATCGCGGAAAACTAGTAAAAGTAACGTTGTTTTGGTTATGACGTTAAACAACTTAACTTAAAAATATATAACTTATAAAATAATGTTAGGTCCATAAGTTACTTAAATGTTACAATTACAATTAAACGTTATGAAATGAGGAAACATTTTTGAAAACAAAATTATTCTAGTTAAAATAAAGCCAAGGGAAGGAATACACTGCTAAAAATTTTACTTAAAATTACACACTACTTCGAAATTATAGAGAGTAACTCAGACAATATAAAAACACTATTACCATAAAGCGTATAAAATATAAAATTACTTTATATTATTTGTATTGTATTAAATGATGTGCCGCTCTCTATGCACTTCGATATGATCTATAATCGTCTAGTTACACTGAACATCGATATATCTTCTATATCTGTCTATTGCACTTAATAGGGAATAGATAAATGCTTTTTTAGTTGGTGTAAACGGACGTTGATTTAGGCGTCGTTATAGAAACGCCATAACATAAGCGTACGCGAGGGGTCAAATTATGTGTCCATAATAAAAAAAAATTAAAAAATACAACCTGGACGTAGTAATAAATTAAAATGGATCAAAGTGTCGGTTGTAGCAAACCGTCTGTTGCTCATAAAAATTATAATAGATGTTATGTTTTATTATCTTTTTTACATATTTTCTATATCTTGTTGCTTTCTAGACAGATACCTACGCCTATGGATTTTCGATCTCCGCACGCTTCATCCTCCTTACTAGTCCAAGAGCTAGTGATGAGTCAATCTCTATAATTTCGACCACGCAGTATAGATCATTGGTTATTTTGATGCCACAGTGGGTAATGTAAAATTACATCATGCAATGTTATTTTACCCTGTTTAAGTAATTCATGCAAAATGTAAATTTGCATTATCGGTATATGCATATTTACGACACCTATGTTTTTCAATGGAGTTGAAAATAACTTTTATACAAATTTTTTATGCATTTACAAATTTAAATGCTTTTTGTTAAAAATGGTTGGCTTTAGAGGTAAGGTATACCTTCTTTAGCAGAAAAGTTGGGGAAAAAGATTTTTCCAGACCAAAATGAAATACACCGTGGCACAAAAAAGTTTTGGCAGTTTAAATGCGTCCAACTGGTCGCTTGCGACACCCTTTAGAAGATAGAATAAAATGTTATTTATTTTTTCAACGTTGTACAGACCCGTTAGAGACCCTGTACTTTAGGTACTTAAGACATTGCCCTATATCTATTATTACTCCACAAATGAATATAAACAAGCTTACTGAACAACTAGCACAGTTCTATACCTACGCGCGGTAACACCAGACTGGGTGATCACTTGGTTAATTTGATTGGCTGAACCAAATCAAATCATGTACATTCACACTTTGATTAGTATATTTACATCAAATATGTTAAAAACACTTAAATAATTAGGAACAATGTCTTTTAAAATAGAAAAGTACAACGCAAAAAGCAAATATATATTCAAACGTGTAATTCTACACAAGGTATCATGTATGTTCAATCTATTATTGTTCGTGTATAAAAAACATTTCTATACAATTTTTCTCAGTGTACTTTAGACTGACCTACATACATATTTAGTTAACTACAAGAACGTGCGATTTTAACTCCAAGCTGTGAAGTTGATATTGAAGCTTCAAAAGGAGTTATTGCAGTGAAAACTCGTAAATAACGTCAAAACTCTTATTAAAAATAACGTTGATTAGGGAGTAATTTCAATGGTTATTCAATTGAAGGTTAAGATATTTTCTGTCTCACTGGACATAAATTGTCCAAATTTTCATGTATTTATCTAATATCCCTGATAATCTTGTTTCTGTTTTAGATACCGGAACTAGCAGGATTTTGGATGTTATCTCTGCTTCTACAATTTCCGCTACAGGGTTTCTTATTATTAAATCCCTATTTTGGATTTTACGTCTTAGAGGTGGTCGCACAAACAGTGATGTTCTGCATGTTGTGTGTTCAGCTAATTTCTGGATATTGTGCTTTAAAATATACCGCATCCAAACAGGCCACTTATTTCAGGATTATGAAACTCAGAACCGATATCAGCCTAGCTGACATTGAGAATAGATATAGAATGAATTGAAATAAGTTTGTAGTTATAAATTTTCCTTTCATTAATAAAGATGTAAGATTTAAGATGTCAAGACTGAGTAGATAAAAACAAACAAACGCATGTAGGAAGTACTGGATATATGAACTGATAAATGGACAGGACCGTAATAAGCGGTATTTTTTTATCTAAAAGTAAAAATAAATGAAAAATTAAATATACTTTAGCAGTATTTATTTCTATGCTCACAATAAATATAAGTAAATTAATTAAAATAAATAGTTATCATCTATTATTTGCTACATATACACACGAACAATAGCAAAATTCTTATCGATTCTCATTATTCTCTAAATCTATGTTTTGATTATTTTAGCTTACGTATTCTTGTGTTTCGATTATGGTGTTCTAAGCTATGAGAATTATTTGGCTTTTCATTATATAAAGAAAAATACGAGGAAATTCAAAAGTAGGTAGACAGTAATTTGAAATACCCTGTAATGCTATAACTATTTTCCTCTGCGAAAACAGTTTGATGAAACTGTAAAGTGAGATGGTAGAAAGCAAGAGTTTTCCAACACAAATCCAATCTACTAGGGTTTATAACTCCAGGGCAAACATAACACCACTAAAAGTTGTTTTTCTCATGAAAGGTTAATTTAATTTTGCCGATCTTTTTTTGAATAATTATAGTTTTACTCGCTTTGGGAAATTTCAAACAAAATTATTAATGAGCAAGTGTTTCATACCTTTAACTGTGTTTCCTTTTTGTGAAGAGACATTTTGCCTGCTATGTTTGTGTGCGTGTCAATAAGTGCGAATGAATATACTGAAATGGCCATCAATAAAGTAATAATAAATTATTGGACACGGTGATGAAAACTGTGAGTAAACTGCACATATTCATGTACAACAATTTGTGTACACGTTTGTAAAACTAGACGAGCTATCAATAGAGTCAGCGGCAGTTCCAAAGATGTTTTTCCCTATTATTGTGGTAACATAGGAGGTATTGAAAAAAATTTTTTTTGCAAAAATATTTCCGACAACCGGAAGAAATTTATAATTCAAAAAAGAGATTAGCCGATCACGCGAAAATTAATTTTGAAAATGGGACCAATTTTCAGTGGTTGCGTTAATATTTTTCCAGGAGTTTATTTTAAAAGATGAACCAAATTTAAACCTACACTATATCTAAGAAGCAATTTTGCTGCAATTTCAATTTAATTGGAGACAGAAACAAGACTGGAAAAAATGGATCGAATTTGGTTCTTTTATAGAAATTTGCAACTATATGAAATTTAAACTATGTATGTATATAATATAAGCTCTCAATCCTCTTCATATGTCTAATTTAATAAATTCAGCAATATACCATCACATTTGCTAGAAGTAGTTATGAGTTTTAACCAGACATGCTAGCACAGAAAAACATTTTTTTATTATCTATTATTATCTATATCATATATTTAGGAAGACATTTTTTTATTTAGCCGAGCGCTTCAATGGACGTATTCCTTTAAATGAGAAAGTTAGAAAAACGAACACGCTTATTATTTAGCCTAAGCCAGTCAGATACATATTTATATTATATTTTAATACACTTCTGCTAATTGCTATATTGCTACGGTAGCAAAATTCGTCTGAACGTATAAAAATAAATGAAAGAGTTTGATTTTAAATATTTCTCATGCAATTTATGTTATTTTTCGAACGTCCAGTCCACCAGTTCAACGTCAAAACCAGATGATTTGCTTAAAAAAAAGGAGTTGTACAATTTGGAGCAATTCCAGTGATTTATATTTATCTTCACCACCAATGTGCGCAAGTACGTCACTGCAATTGGGCGCGAACACTCAAAATATATTAAATAATTTCTTGATTAAATCATTACTATTTTCAAAATTGATTTGGTAATTCTATTAATTGTGAAAAGGTGGGTTGGACATTATCTTCGCTAAGCCTAAGCTATTGAGTACTTTGAATATCCTCGTAAAAAATTTACTGACCCCTCAAATTTTGCAGAAAATGCCTTACATGCTAAATTCCTCTTTCAAAATGCAACCGACTGTGTCTTCAACAAACATGATGTAGCTATCCTCGTTCAAACTGATTATGACGTCCTGGGGTATTTGAAATGAAAATTTCAGGATCCTTCCTTCAAAGGTCCAATTATGAATAATGAGTTCCACGTTTTTACTTCGTATTTCGACGACTCTGATTCCAGAGGTTGACTTTATAAGTTTGTTGAAGCAATCGAAGGACAATAATGAACACTGTCTGGATGTACTTTGGTTGAACCATCTTAAAAAACAAAATAATTAAGAAATACCAGCTCTGTTAAAGAATGGATCGAGGGTAGTCTTCTTGGGTGAAAACAAATCGACTTAGTCAGGTTACCTTAGTACAATATTGCATTTTTAAGAATTCTTCAGAGAAATTCTTTCAAGGACTGCTTTGCATGTGCCACTGGCTGTAAGCCATGCACTGAAACGTCATGGAAGAAGACTGTATATCGGCTGTACTCTTCAAAGAGCTCTTTACTCGGATATAGAGTGTTAACCTGAGTCAATATGTAAAATTGATACCAATCGGTGTTTAACCACCCTAATTAGTGACGTTTCCTAGGTTTCCCTAATCGGTGCACTTAGAGATGGTTGGGTTTTACCAGGGCTTACTAATCATTCATAGGTGTTAACGTGGTCTGCTGAATTAAACTAACAAAATTATTTCCTTTCAGGGAAGTAAAATTGTACTAAGGTAACTTGATTAAACTGATTTGTTTTCTCCCAAGGAAGCTACCAGACGCCCTGCATTATTATCATTACCTGTGATAGCATAACAAAACAGCACAACTTCTCGTCAAAAACGTATCGTCAGCTTCCTCGTCTATTTTTCTGATAACGGTAAATTCCTTTCTCTTATTTTCCTTCTGCAGTCTTTCAACTAAACTCTCAGACTCGAACTCCTCCTTGAATTCGATCTTATCCTGGAGAGTTTTGGTCATGTCATGACTAGAATTTGATTTCTGGGCGGTGGAGTGAGGACGAGTGAATACTTTGTATATATTGTCGAAACCCCGACTCATAATCCCCTCTTCTGTGTGACCCAAGTCGAAAGTGTGGTACAGTTCGTGTAGGACTGATCCCAAAGTCGTCGAAAAACTTGCTCCGACTGTACCCCTGAAACAATTGATTTATTTGTAAAGGGAGTACAAGAAAGTCCGTTTTTGGACACTGTTTTGTTGTATTTCCGTAAAAAAATAATTTAACGAGAATTATTAAATCGTTAAATTAAAATTAAATGCTTAAAATACCTTTGTGCCGGTGTTGGTTAGTCTAAATAAAGAACAAAAATCTAAAGAAATTTTACCTATAGCAACTATCATCTAAGAACAGTGCGCGGTCGACTAACGTGGTGTCTTCAAATCTGAGAATGATCTCTTCGAAACTCTCGGGCCAAGTGTAGAGACAAGCCGTTCCGAACAACGCCAAACCCCCTCCTCCTAGCGCCACATATGCTTGGGTGATTTGCAACAGATCCTCATGAGTTTTCATCGCTTCGGTGTAATTTTCTCCCCAGTACCTTGTACACGACAGAAACGCTAGGTATTTTTTATTTTCGCACGCTATATCAGACTTCATGATTTCTCTTCCTAAAACACAGTGTGTCACAAAAAGAAATAGAAATTTCTTCATATAATGAAAAACATATACACGAACTCAGAAATTTATTTTTAATGGAAGATAGGTTTTGACAGGAGAAGGCTATTATTAAAAATGTAAAAGTTGTATGGAAATGGAAGAAAAAAAAATTTTATACCTAATCATTGTTCGACTACCTACCGCTAGCTTATTTTTGTCTAGTGTTGTCTAGCCGAGTGGCACTGCTGCATTATTTAGTCCAATATTTAAAGCAAATTACATTTAGACTGATAGTTGTTTTATTACCTAATACAATTAAATATTATTATTTTGTAGGCAATTTTTTTTGTTTCTACAGAGCATCTGTCGCATGATTACAGTATCCACGAATTGGTGATTATGCTACTGACATACGGTGAATGTAGACAAAAAGTTGCGCGAGTGACTTTTCAGTTTGCTATGCATCAAGTGCTACAAGATTTGCAATTGTATTTTTTTTAATAACCCATACGTGGTATTGACGAGTTACAACCCCACATGTATCAAGTACCTACGATTAGTGTCATTCCCTCTTGATTCCAACAGCTCTCAATATGTTTTTTTTAAGGTCAGTATATATTCAGGTTAGTATTTAAATTTATTTTACTTTTTCTGCCTCATATACTTAGTATAGCTAATATAGAGTTATCTTAAAAAAAACGATTTTTCATGCTCGTAAACACCCTGTATAATGCCATTTCTTATTTACCTATAACGTGCTTTAATATGGGAAATGATAGATGGCGCTTTATAGTGTCCCTTTAAACCCCTTTATAGGGGTTAAATGGTAAAGGATCGTTGATATAATAGAGCATATTAGATTTGTGATTTGTATTTGACCCATTTGACGATGTTTTGGCATTTGATTGAATTATGCTAAATTAAAATATAAGCAAAAAAATATTATTGCAGAAGTTGCAATAATATTTTTACATTTGTAGTTATCTATTTGTTTATCTTAAAAAATGTCAACAAAATTTCTGATCCGAAGTCCGAAAAACTATTAAAATTTAATAGTCTGTACTATTTTAGTTTAAAATTTTGAATTATTGTATAATAACCTGTTTACAATTATTTACATAAAACATTTAAAGCGTTTTAGTATAATCCAATTATTATGTATTAAAATTGTATTTTTTACGCCTTATGAAAATATATTGAAGATTCAGTGTTATATTTTAAGTTGTCAGTATCAATTTTGCCCTAAAATGGAGAGAGATTGCGGTGCTTTATCAACATAGGGACTAGACTGGGACTTGGGACAGTGGCTGTACAAAGGCAGTGACGTTAATAAAGGTTCAAGCACTACACATCTTGGCGTTAAATGGCGATTTGAAATATCGAATTTGACATATGAATAATTTAACGTTTAGATTTTTATTGAACTGTCAAAATAAAAGAAGATTATAGCCAAAAATATAATTATGTACTTATATCGGTTGGCATAAGCCAAGCTATTTGTCCTATAGATTTCGGGGGAAAAAAATTGATGACTAATATGGTCACTAGAAATGCAGTAAAATTATTTTTGAGTTTCTAATTTTGGCCACTAGGGGACGCATTTCTAAAATAAAAGTAAAAAACTGGTATAACTTAATGTTTTCGAGATCTTCTGCTCATTCTTCAACATTTTTGTTGGAAAAATTTTGCCCCGTCTTAAAAAATAAAGGACGGGGGGTGGAAATTATTTCGTATGACAAAAAGTAAGATAACTCTGGATTAAGTAAACCAATTTCATTGGGCTTGTTGAAAAGGCAATTGATTGCTTAATGATAACCTCAAATTGAATTTCAATTTAAAAAATAATAGAACTGTCATTTGCCCTTGTTTTCCAAATGGAAAAGTTTTATCGATTTTCAAAAAAAAATTCAAATGTAATGCTACCTTTTTTATTTTATGGTGTTTTTACACATAAAATAACGAAAAAAATGTATCTTCCCTCAAACTAAAGTTATTAACAAAAGTTTAGATAAAATGATATTTTTTTGAGAAGTTAAAGAAAAATGTATTATTTATATATTTATAGATTTATCTGCATATAATACCGAGCACCTGATAAATTATTACTACATTAGGAGTATTAGAATATTACAATATTATTAGAGGTATTATATCAGAAAGCCATGAAAATATGAAACAAACGTCAATGTGCTGCTGTCATTAGTTCTTATTTGATTACGTTTAACATTGACTGCTGATGTAAGGTTATGATTAAGCAGTCAATTGACTTTTTAACAAGCCCAACTTCATTGAAATCGATTTACGTAATCCGGAGTTACCTTACTTTTTGTCATAAGAAATAATTTCCACACCCCTTCCTTTATTTTTTAAGATGGAGCAAAATTTTTCCGACAAAAATTTTGAAGAATGAGCAGAAGATCTCAGAAACATTAAGTTGTACCTATCTTTCCATTTGATTTTTTTAAAATAAAGCAGTTTTTTACTTTTATTTTAGAAATGCGCCCTCTAGCGTCCAAAATTAGATGCAAAAAATAATTTTATTGAATTTCTAATGGCCATATTAGTCATCAACTTTTTTCCCGAAATCTATAGGACAAATAGTTTTCGAGATACAGCCGGTCGATGACCTTAATGGGACACCCGGTATCTACAGGACAAGAGGGCCCGTCAAATTGTTGATATTACGCCATGTCCTCTGGCCATACGCGACCAGTGAGCAGGGCGACCGACATCGTCTGATCTAAAGAATCATGCCTTAGAAAGAGGCAAATTATTACATAAACTATTCCGGCAATAACTGAAATATACAGTGCTTTCGAAAAGTAACGAATAAATTCATTATTTTTTAAATTGGGAATTTTTCGAAAAAATCCCCTGGCACGTCGATTTTGTTTTTAAAAAAGGCACTTTTTGACATACGACCCATATTTGTGACGTCATCGTTGTTCGAGATATGACGTCATCGACAATTTTTTTAAATAGCAACCCCCAATTTTGACCATGCCATTTGAAAGAGCGTGTCATTCTACATACACAGATCATGAAAAATTATGGTGTTACATAACAAAAATTTCAAGAAAATAATGTTTGAAGATTTTAAAATTTAATTTTCACAATACTGAAAATGATAATGATTATGTAAAAATCGACTAAATGGTGCACCTCCCCATTATGCAACACCTGTCCGTGCTTATTTAGATGAGCTGTTCCCGAATCGTTGGATAGGGAGAAGGGGGCCGATTGAGTGGCCAGCCAGATCGCCTGATTTGACACCCCTAGATTATTTCTTGTGGGGATACTTAAAAAGCAAAGTATACGTTACTAGACCGGTTAATTTAGAAGATTTAAAAGCAAGAATTCGTCACGAGATACATCGTATACCTCCTGAAGTTATTGATAATGTCCAAAAAGAATTTATTAATCGTCTTGGCTACTGTCAGGCAGCCAACGGTGCACAATTTGAACATTTAATTTAGTCGATTTTTACATAATCATTATCATTTTCAGTATTGTGAAAATTAAATTTTAAAATCTTCAAACATTATTTTCTTGAAATTTTTGTTATGTAACACCATAATTTTTCATGATCTGTGTATGTAGAATGACACGCTCTTTCAAATGGCATGGTCAAAATTGGGGGTTGCTATTTAAAAAAATTGTCGATGACGTCATATCTCGAACAACGATGACGTCACAAATATGGGTCGTATGTCAAAAAGTGCCTTTTTTAAAAACAAAATCGACGTGCCAGGGGATTTTTTCGAAAACTTCTCAATTTAAAAAATAATGAATTTATTCGTTACTTTTCGAAAGCACTGTATTATCAATAAACAATGATAAATGTGTGAATTGTTAGATCTGAGGGGGTCGATTGCAGATCCTGACGTCCTACAATCGTTAAAATTTGTGGGCAAATGTCAGTATTTTGACTTATATGATAGCCCCGCCCAATGATAAGTCCACAGTAGCGCTTTATTCCTTAGTACGCTATCTATTGTTTAACACAAAACATAATAGACACCATCTATTATTTTACTACAAAATTACCTATATATTCCCACAGTTCCACTTGAGTCATGTTCCTGGCCTCCAGGTAGTTCAATTCGCTGTGGAACACCTGGCAGTCTGATTCCAAGCAAAACGTTTTCCTCCCCAAGTTTTGCTCGTATAGCTTTTCAGCCGTAACGCATTGGAGCAGTTTTGAACACAAAGTAATTCTCTTGCAGGCACTTTCGACATTGTTATTCTCCCACGGGGGGGCCTGGAAGTATCCGTCGTGCCCGTCGCAAATCACATACAGCGGTATCACAGAATTCTCGGATTTGATAGAAAAATACTCTAGCGTAATCCCGATAGTCTCACAGCAGAATTTGATATTGATTTGATTTTTGCCCCTTTGGAGTTCGACTAGAAACTTGAACCTGTTTTCGATCAGGTTCGTGGTGATGAGTATGTTGGAGTTGTTGTTCAGGGTCAGGTAGACGTTCTTGTCGGTCTGGTTTTGGCAGGAGACACTGACTTCGTAGTCTATGGTTCCGATTAGTTTAATGATGGGGTACGTCACGGCGTCTAGGTTGGTGAAGTTGGTGACTTTTATGTTATGGTTGTTCATTGCCTGCAACACGAAAAAATCGTTTCCCTTTGGCCAAGGCTTCAGCTGGTACATTACTAAAATAACTTTGAGAAGGTGGTATTTGTTTAAGCAGACAGTTTTGTGAAGAGACAAAGAAAATGTGGTAATTTGTACAGTTCTTCAAGGTAACGTAGTGAATGAAATAGCTCCGTCCACAGTGCGCTGCCATTTTTCGAAAATTTCTTGCTCCCACTCCCATCTTTTAAAATGTTCACCCGCTACGTTACTTTTGACAAACTGTAACTGATTTTACAGAGGCTTTCTGGGGTGCTTTCCTTGGATGAAAATAATTCGATTTAGATCAAGGTATCTTGGTACAATTTTGCTTCCTTAAAGAGATACAGGCCTTCAAAATATTTTTTAAGTTAATTCGGTGGTTTTATAAAAGCTGTTTTACATTGACAATTTATTGATCAATTAATTGATGAAGTCGCTTCATCAAGAAATTGGACAAGTGTAATGCACCAAATCAGCTGTCAAATAACTTCATCAATTTATTCATCAAGTTCTTGACGAATTAGAGCATGTTCTAATTTTCGTCAATTTCTTCGCGTTCGGAAGTACCAACCCAACAGATTTCCAGCCTCAGATCAGAAATGAGGTTACGTTATTGGAATATGTAAATAATTGTGTGGCGTCGTGCTAGTTTTGCATTGTTTTTATTGATTTGTTATTTACAAAAACTAATATTTATATAATATGTGTCAGAACGGCACCGCTGTTGTATCATTACAATTATGAGTGGAAAGGTGACATTTTTGAAATTTATTTGCTTCTTTGATTCATTGGTAGAACTGAATCAGACGGCAAATAATTTGACAAAGTCTGTAGCAGTGTAAAACCACACTGTTTACCAATAAATTCGTGAATTAATTGATGAAGAACTTCGTCAATTTATTGATGAATAAATTGTCAATGTAAAACAGCTTTAACACATTTCAATGTTTGGTAAGTATATTGAGTTGTTGTTTCTTGCCCAAAACAAAGAAAGCTAAAAATATTTGAACTATCTTCCACTCTTGTACCATATTGCATTTTATTTGTTGGTAGAGCTTTTGAGAAAACACACTTATTTTTAAATTTTATTGCATCTCAAAATTTCAGAGACAGTTTTTTTTTATTTTACAGATGAGTCAAGTTTAATTGTAAGCAAGAATAATCATATTTAATTAAACTTTCTTATGCTAAATATTAAATACCCTTGTTAAACTATTTCTACAATTTAAATAAAATTAGCTCAATTAATATAGCTCCAGTTAAAAAGAGATAAATTATCTGAGGTTTCTCAAAATCTGCCAATAAAAATACAAAAACAAAATACTGTTTTAGCGATATCTATGGCTTACCTAAGTTCAAAACGATTATACAGTGAGCGGCAAAAGTATGGAATATATTTATTTAAAAATCAGATATTCGTTATTTGAAAAATCGCTCGGATCCGTCGAATTATATTTTTAGTTGCACATTTTCTGAAGCAATTTTCATGTATACAGAGTGGCCCAAAAAAAGTTTTGAAATTAAGGCCAACATTTTTAAATGGAAACCACACTTTTTTGTATTTTTATTCAATTCTCCATGGAATTCTGATCATTTTGTATGTAACATAACCTACACCTACCTTTAACCGTTTTCGAGATAATGGCGTTTGAATATAGAATAAGGAAAATTTTCAAAAATTACCCTGAGATTTACCCTGCTGGTTTTAAAATAAAACTACGTTTACTTTTCCATCTTAGATTTGTGTGGTTCACAGAAAGTTGCCTCAAATCAGAAAAATCCATAAGAAATAAGTGATACCATACCATATTTGCCGCTCACTGTATATTCATTTTCAGCTACCACAAAAGCCATCTTAGATCAAATTGTAATGAAATATCTTAAAAAGTGACGTTATGTTAAAAAAAGAAATACGTATAATCATTCTTTTTTATTTTATTTTTTTTTGTATATTATTTATATATTTATTATCTCTTGTATTTTTTGTTTCATAGTTTTTCGCTAACTCAAATATTTTTCGCATCAAATGTTCTTCGATACCAAAAATCTGAAATGTAAAATATATTTAACTTTATAGACAAGATCCTTAACTGATGACTGCCGAAAACACAAACCAATAATTATACAGGATGTCTCTAAAGGGTCTGTACAACGCTCCGCCAGATATGCTACCGCGCAAAATAAGTCAATTTAACTAAAGTTGCCTTAATCCAAAAATTGATAACGTAGTTACAGGGTGTTAAAGTTGAAGAAAACAATAACATTTTCTTTAATATCATTCGACTACTTCGAGCTAATTTCGTGAAATTTCGTATCCGTGAATTTTTTGGGATGAGAAATTCGAATTTATCGGCGATTTCATTGTACCTTCTAGAGGGTGCCACAAGCGACCATTAGGATGCATTTAAATTGCTAAAACATTTTTTGTGCCACGGTGTATTCACTTTGGACTGGAAAAAACTTTTCCCCAACTTTTCTTCTCAAAATATCTCTAAAGTAGTCTAAAGTCAACAAAAATGCATAAAAAAAATTGTTTAAAAGTTATTTTCAACTCTGATGGAGCGTTTTACAGACCCTTTAGTGATACCCTGTATACTACTTGGGGCAGCAGTTGCTTCTAGCAATATTATCAGTCAGGATTCTTGTTGATGTTAAATATATTTTATCTAGATTTTTGTAGAACATTAGACTTCATTTGGTAGAACTTTTTTTTAATGTACCCTTAACACCTTCAAAATATAGGAAAACATGCTGTTTTGGACCTTCACTTTTTTTAGAAAGCAAAATGATAATAACTTGATTTGATTCAGTTTGTTCTTATCCAAGGAAGATAGCTTTGAAATATGGTTCGTTCATTACCGGATACCCTGTATGACAAACAATAACATCGAGTACGTACAAAAAAGTATGAAGGGGGCAAAATTTTTCAAGAAAATGTAACGTGGGTGCATGTGTCTCAAACCAAAATCTAAGTAAAGTAGCATCGAAGAAGAAAGGAACAATTAAAAATGTGAATTAAAATGAATAAAATGTGGTTTATTTGAAAATGAAAGATTTCACAAAAAAATATCTACACAACAAGTAGTCAAAGAATTAATATTTGTTTCTATATTAGGTACATATAAAACACCCATAGCAATCTGTGCAAAATATTAAATAACGTCAAAAAACGGTACAAATAAAACATCTAGTCAACACAAGAAAATAAAGTACATACAAAATAAAAACATGTCTCCGCCTGGTAAAAACCCCGTCTACGCCTATGGTGTGCAATTTGTGTAACATGATCCGCTCATTACGGCTGTGCTTCCTCGACTCGTTCGGTCACTACAAATACATCTACGCTCTAACAGATGGCGACAAGTGCTCTACAATCTCACGAGATCCTTTTCCTCCTAATCGATAACCAACAAAAAAAGTGTTACTAATATAACCTAACAAACAAAATAAAATGCGTGAAAAACGCAAAGCTCACAGCTCACAAGGTAGAAAACAACGCCAAACAAACACCAATAAGCTCAAAGATAAAAAATCTCTTTACCATTCCTAATTACGCTTCTTTTATTGCACTACTTAAAAGCACTACCGTAGGAGGTATTAGGGCACATGGCGCTAAATTTAAATTATTTCCGAGCCGTATTGATTGACGTCTAATTCCATTTTTGAAGGATGAAACGGTCGTTGAGAAAAAACGGATCATTGTAACGTCGAGTGGATGGAAAGAGAGTCCGCTGGGGAGATACTAAGGTAAATATAACGTCGTTTAATAAAAGGTTACCTGGCTTTATCCTGTATATCTTTATTAAAGTCAATTTAACATGCTGCGCGCGGCGGGTGAGGATTCGACCAAATGGATTATGTGCAGGGCCGGGCTGGTGTGGGAATGTACTAAATTCCCACGGAGAAATTGGTTCAAGAGCAAATATAGAAACTACCAATACCTAAACCTAGCACAAATATATAAGATACAGTTTTAAATTAAACATATTTAATATTTATTAAAAAATATAATTAATTAAAAGATTAAAAGTTTGAATTTTTAAAATGCTTAGAAGTTAAAATAATGTAGCATTTTGATAAAATGAATAATAAGTTATTTGATGTCATAGTTTAATAGATATGACAGCTAATATGTTTAAGAAGAGAAATTTTATTTAAATAGAAAAATACCTAATATATACAGAATTAAATAGGGCATATATCTATAATTATATTATAATACAATTAATGTAATTACAAGATCAAATTTAAATTGAATACAATTTGCCAAATACTAATTTTTTTTATTTTATAAAATCACCAAGTTTATGTTCAAATATATTTATAGGAACAGAATTTTCGGTATTACTCAGCAAGGAATGATATTCTTTGAGACTTTATAGAAAATAGTTCTTTTGTGCAGTTGTTCTTTTTGAGTGATTTAAATATAAGCAGTTTACATTTCTTGTATCATAATTATGTATTTCCCCGACATATCTCAAAAACTGCTCGAAATAAGAAGATAGAAAGATGACTAGTTATTTTGTGAACAAAAACTAATGCTAAATATTTCAATAGCACTTCCACAACGTAACTTTTATCCTCTATTTTGCAAAATTTGAAATTGTTACTGTCAAATAAACACATAATAATTGAACAGTAGTCAAGAAGAGGTGAGGATTTAATCTAATCTAATGGCTTACAAAGGGTAATATTTGTCATAAGTGATAAATGATGTGAAATCCTTGAAAAGAAACACAGTATTTTCGATATTTTATTTTTTATAGACAATATATGGCCTTTTAAACTTAATGTGTTATCTAGATAGAATCCCAATTGAATGTCGGTGTTAACAAATGTATAAAAACCTCAGTCTCCAATCCAATGTCTCGAAAAGAAAAAAATATATCTTAATTCTGTCAGCGTTACTAACTAATGAGGCTAATTGATCGGTCAATTAAAACACTGGAGAATGCTACGTATGGTTATTTTCAAACTTCAAAAATTATATTTTTTCCAATTCACCCTTTGTTTGGCTGTTGCACTTATCTACTGACTCTTCTCACTGTTTTTGTACTTTATAGTACTAGCTTCGTATTCTGGCTGCATGTCCTACGTACCACATTATAGAAAAATTACATTGCGTATACCTTAGTC